AGGTACCATAATAAAAAGCAATTAGCATTAGACCAATTGGTTTTTGAAGCAAGTGCTTTGATAACTGAGAGTTTGAAAAAAGATACCAGTTCAATATTTTATTTTATTTTTAACAGACATATAAAATAAAGAGATTTCTGACAAGGATTCCCAAACAATATTTATTTTTGATTGCCAAGGTTGTAAATCATGTTATCGGTTTCAATAGTACACATATAGTAAGCATTATCAATAAACTGTTTATGACAGTTTGACCATTTTACATCAGTGCTTCTTGGTAGACAAACTATGTCCCTGCCACAAACACCATGTCTTAGTTTAGGTTTCACTATCGAAAGATGTAGCCATCTTCTCTCTTGCAGCCGTTTTTGGACCAACAATGTTGAAGTTGAAGTCAACCCCCACTTGTAGATTCAAGGTCGTGTGGAGACACAGCTGCAGTATTTTGTACATGTGGTAGCTTGAGGAGAATAGTGTTTGTAGCCAGAGCTGCAAGAAGCTAGGAAGTGACAAATTATTGAGAGGAGAAATATAATGAAGGCGGATGATTCCTCAGAATTCAATCGCAATTCATAAGGTTCGATAAATATAATAAACAGAGATAATCGAGCATCTAGTGGGGATAGAGCAGCTTTTTTAGCAGCTACAATCATCAAAATATCAAATGAGGAAATCGATTTGTAAACAAAAACTGTTCTGTAGGCTCCTGATGTACCTATATTTGGTTTTCCTTGAATTTCACTCCAATCCATATTACTTAACCAACTGAGAGAAGCAGTGATCCTATGTGGGTGGCAAAATGAAGGAGTAGTTTTTTTGCACAATGTGTGTTGCACATACCGCAGTGCTGTGGGGGAAGAAGAAGAATAAAGATATTCTCGTGTTAACTTTAAAATGCACTCTGAGGGGTGGGTGGGGTTTGTCTGTCTGTCTGCGAGGTCTGTGGTGAGGCAGGGGTTAAATAAGACTATCCTCTGTGTGTGTGTGTGTGTGTGTGTGTGTGTGTGTGTGTGT